GTTTGCAAAACTATTCAAAGTAAATTCTAGATGATCTCCTCAGAGAATTGTAATAAGGAAAGGCTCTCATCTCTCCCTGCAGCTGTTATGCAGAAAATCAGAGCCTGAACTCAACTTTCAGCTGATCTTTTGCAGTAATTTATGAGCTGATTTAATTTCATCATGTTTTAATATTTTAAAGCAATTACTTCAACAGGATTTTAATGACTTGAGGACATCAATGTAACTAACCCAGAAAAATTAAACCTCACACTTTGCTCTTATTTCTGAAGGATTTGTCTGATATAAATAAACTCAGAAATATCACCAAGCTTCTCAGGGATCCCATTTTTACCCTGAGAACTTATTTTACACAGAGGATGAGGCAACCAGCCCACATTCACTCCTACTCCTCCTGGCAACAGGTCCTGCTCGTGTCAGAGCTGGGTTTGACACACTCCATCAGCAGGGAAATCACTTACAGACATGACACATATCTCAAGACAAATCTGGAGGTCCCAGAAAATCTATACTGAGTCACCATTGCACTTCATGATTGGCCTTTAGAGGTCAAGATAAAAATTATACCCCAAAAAAAGGCAAAGAGTGCTCTTTTCCTCCAGCAGCTGAAGCATCTCCACATTTGTCTGACTCCTTATATGTTTGCTACCATCCAGTGGTAATACATAAAAGAAATGTCAGAGCTTTCAGTAATTACACTTTACAGGCAGTTTTGGCAATTAAATCACAATTTAATCAGCATCACAAAAGAACAGCAGTGGGATAAGGGCACACAAGTGAGATTTGCTGGGGCCCCACATCCTGCCATGCAGGGATGAGTGCCAAGCACTCATGGGTTTGGCAGATCCACAAGCACAGCCTGTGCTTTTCCAGCAGGGAGTCTCCAACCCAAGAGATCATTACACAGGATCATGACTGTGTAAGGCTTACAACCTTTGCCACACTCACAGAGATAACACAGACAAGAGGCTGTTACACCCCAAATGTACACAGTCCTGCCAGAGTAGGGGCTGAGAAGGAGTAAGTGGAAGGAAATAATGAATGTTAATAAAAATGAATATTAAGAGAAATGTTGATTATATTAATAATAGATTTAGATGTTTTGGGCTTGTTTAGTAAGTCTGACAGTTATTTGACCACTGACCACAACTGCTTTAACCAGCACCATTCCCTCAGCTCCTGCACCCCCAAAGTGCAGCTGTTCCCTTGTGCTCCTTCCTTCCCAAACATCACTCTGGGACACAGCTCTTCCTTCAGAACCCTTTGAAAACACTTCTCTTGGCCCAGCCTCTCCCAGTGGTCTCTTCAGTCACACGACCTGGATGTTTTTATGGGCTGAAACTTATCCCGAGCATCACTGCCGGTTAAACCCGTCAGAGCTGAATCGCCCTTGGGCTGTCACTAACCACAGCCCCCTGTGCGGATCCGAGCAGCTGCCACACATCCCACCTGGAGGGACACGAGTACAGCGCAGGGCAGGGAACAGAGCTTCACTCACCCTCCGCCGCCTCAGCTG